GTCACCTTCTTTACTGGGAAAAGCAGCCTTCAGGCATCTCAGGTTCCTATTACTAGAGGGAAAGTCCAGGGCAAAGAAAGTTCACTCTGGGTGAAGAAGGATCGGGTTAAGGAACATTCAAACAGACCGGACATGTATAAGTTCCAACAGGATACACCCACAGGAACTGTGGGAGTTTGCCAATGCCACTGCAAGACCACTCTCAATTATCTTTAAAAGATCATGGCAATTGAGAAAGGTCCCTGAGGACTGGAAGAAAGCAAGTATCACTCCTGTCTTCAAGAAAGGCAAGAATTAGTATCTGGGGAACTATAAACTGATCAGACACACCTCTATTCCTGGGGAAGGTAATGGAGCAAATTATCCTGCAAACCATTTTCAAATGTGTTAGGGATATGCAGATGACTGGGACTGGTCGGTATGGCTTTATGATGAGGGAATCTGGGCTCATGAAGTTCAGCAAACCAAGTCCTGCACCTGGGCAGGAACAGCTCCAGGCAGCAGGATAGGCTGGGCACCAACTGACTGAAGAGCAGCTTGGCAGAAAAGGACGTGGTGTCTTGGTGGACATGAAGTTGACCTTGAGCCAGCAACGTGCCCTTGTGGCAAAGAAGGGCAATGGTCTCCTGGGCTGTGTTAGGAGGACTGTGGCCAGCAGACTGAGGGAGGTGATCCTTCCCTGCTCCTCAGCCCTGGTGACATACATCTGGGTCCAGTGTCTAGCTCTGGGCTCCCCAGTTCAAAAGAGATGTGGACCTACTGGAAAGAGTTCAGCGAAGGGCCACAAAGATGATAACCAATCTGTCATATGAGGAAAGGCTGCAAGAGCTGGGACTGTTCAACCTGCAGAAGAGAAGGCTCAGGGGAGTATAATCAATGTATAAATACCAGATAGGAGGTTGTAGAATAGATGGAGCAGAACTTTTCTCAGTGGTGCCCCATGAAAGGACAAGAGGCAAACAAACACAAACTGAAATACAGGAAATCCCACTTAAACATAAGAAAAAGCTTCTTTACTGTGAGAGTGGCTAAACACTAGAATAGGTTGCCTGGAGGGGTTCTGGAGTCTCCGTCCTTGCAGATACTCAGAACCTGACCAGACTCAGTGTTAGGCAAACTGCTCCACATGATCCTGCTCTGAGCAGGGCTGGATATCCAGAGGTGCCTGTCAGCCTCAACCGATTCTATGAAGATTCAGTCACTAGGCAGCACGCTTGTAAGACCTGTACAAGTGGTAAAACTCTCTGCAGCACAGTAGGACAATGCAGCCGTCTCTACGTCAATGTGCACCTCTTAGACAAATCAGAAACCTGTAACGTTATCTGTCTGGCTGTCTATGGAATCACAGGTGTCATCACTTACTTTGGCTTAGCATTCAGCTCCTGAATGCTCCACTTACACTTCAAAGAAATTAAAAATGCATATAGAAGAAAGACTGCTTGTGAAAGATTATAGCGGGCTTTGCTTTGCAAGTTCTTCCACTGGCAACAGGAAGTAGGTGTGGCTTGTAACTCTAGTGCTGCTATATAAAAAGGCCTGTCCACAGTTAAGATAAAATCCTTATTGAACCTACCGGAATGCCACTGGCACTACTATCTCTCTCCTCCCATACTTTTCTGTAATTCCCTCAGACAGACTTATTTTGGCTTGAAACTTTCCATATTTGCACTTTGTCCAGAAGCAAAGCTTTTTGGATAGTTTTAGCAAAATCTGTTATTTTTTTCCTCTCAACTTTTGTCCAAGCTCAAATTACTTCCAAACAAAAATAGTTCCAGAAATGAGGTCTGACTACAAAACATTTTCAACAGAATATAGGGGGAGTTTGTCTGATCTGTTAAAATGTAGTAAAAGCATAAAATATACTGGATCTAATGATCCAATCTATTACAGTCCAAATTACCATGTCATTCCATGTAACAAATCAAGATCTATAGACATGCAGCTGTATAAGACCTGGAAAGAGGTATGAGCCTTTTTTGCACATCTCTAAACCGCATCAACCCACTTGGAATATAAAATAATCATCAATCTTTTCTGATTTTCCTCATTTAAAATAAAAATACAAAGAGTAGTTTAAATAACAAGATGGGGTATTTGTAATACCGTAGTCACCTACAGACCATGACCTTGTTTGGATATAACTGATGATAAAAGTGTTTTTTCAACGGTGTTTGGCTAATGGAAAAAAATGAACTTTCCTCACAGAAAGCCTAGCCCTTTTAAAAATAAAAAGCACAGACTGAAAACATCTAGAAAAGAAATAATTAAAAATCTTCTCCCCTTTCTAACCAGGAGACCCTTCAATATCCTACTACCTTTTTAACACAACCTCATCCTGCAGTTTATCAGCCACTGCTGTGAGATATTTTTTTCACTAGTGGCCAGAAGAGGGAAAACCACAATGCAGTGATGATTTAACCCCATTCCTATAGCCTTTCTTTTCCTCCTCTTCTTCTTCCTTCTGCTGCAGCTCATTCTAACCTGCTTTGCGCGAGCACTTTCCTGGTACCCTTTTCTAGTAATTAACAACAGTACAATACTCAAGCAATGCTCAAAACTGAACACAAGACATTTGTTCATCTTCACTGCTTGCTGGCATAAAAATAAATCTTACACATAATTATCTATCCCATACAGCAATCTGGAGATAAGCAAAAGGCTAAATTAGCTTGCTGGAAAACAATACAAGCCTGCACTCATATTTGTAATGTGCACTCAGAAAAACTCAGAACTGTGTAGAAATGGATCTGCTTTCTGCATTATATTCTGTGATGTTATTTACCTCATTTAGACAATTAATATGAAACAAATTAAAAAAAGAACCCCCCATGTAGTCAAACAAGAGATAATGAGGAATTGTGCTGCTAAAAGTGGCAGGCTGGCACTGTCCTTTGAGCAGAGCTGTTTGGAAGAACAGATGAGAGCAGAGGCCAGACCAGTATCAAAGCCAGAGTATAATTAGAGACAATTTCAAAGTCAAACTAGAGCCCCCAGAGAAGACAGGGAACCTGTCTAGATTCAAAAGTATGACGGAAAAGCATGCGAAGAGCACTCCTAGTGCTTGGAGATCAAGGTATGTGCACATAAGCCACACATCAAGGGTGTTCGTATAGGCCCAGGCAGCGCTGCAGTATAGCAGTGTTGGGTGAATCCTAACTCTGCTCTACTGGAAGAGGCAATCAGAAGACAAAGAAGGGGGTAACTGGGAAGGGTTTTAGGACTGTCACGAAGGTTGAGGACAAAAAAGACTGGGTAAGGACAGGGATCTGCACTGCTCCTGCAGTGCTTCTGGTCTCTGAGGCAGAGCTGTGCACAGTAGTGACAGTGAAGACAGTCTGAGGCTAAAGAGTGGGAAGAGAAGGAAACTGATGGGAGGGGAGACAAATGACAGAAAAGCGTCTTAAAGACATGTGATTTGTCCAGTGCAGCTGCTGGGATGCAGGGTGTGTGTGTAAGGAAAGTAAGAGGCTCTCTTCTCTCAAAGGATCCTGTTCCTGGGACAGGGCAGACTCAGAGTGACACTTGCATCCACACCCATCCATTTGCACGGGCTGCTCATCACTCAGTTGTGCCTCAGTCACTGGAGCATCAGCATCTGTGACTAGCTCCTGACAGAAGACTAACGACCTGCAACTGACAAAACTGACACCCAGGGCTGACATATGCAGTGGTCAGGAACATTAGCCCAGGCAGGATAAGCGTCATCAGAACACCGGCAGTGGAGTACAGCAAAGCCCTGGTCTTAGCTTACAGAGAGACGTGACCAAAATCTACATAACTGCCTGCTTCATTATCCTTCATGACAGGGAGTTGCACAGAACAGTGATAACATAGGAAGATAGCACATCGCAATCTTCACGCATGACTGAACAGACGTTTACCAGCCACCTTTCATTACTTCCCTGCCCTCACATACAGGACCCTTGTTATGATAATTTTTTAACCACAACTCCCTGCTGCAAGTGAGGAGATTCTCACAGACTTCAAATACCAATGCTTTTAGAGTGTTTAAGTAAACACTTTCCTTGCCTTGTCTAGATCTCCCATCCTTACTAAAGCAGTAGCCACTGAGACTGGAAAACATCACATGGATCTTGACACCAGTTTCAGTTCTCTCCCTTTCCCAAGACCCATATGGTTCATGGTGGAGGGTATGCAATACTTCCTGGGAAGTAGCATCTGTCTTTTCAAACACGGATTCTCACTTCTTCCCTTCCCTGGAGCTAGAACAAAGGACAGGAGTCATAGCAAACCAATCCTGTTTACACCCTCCACCCAGCCCTAGTCTGAAGTGTGGGTGTTAACCTCAGTGAGTTGGATATGCTGCTAGTTGTGCCTATGGATTCCCACTGGCTGCGAAAAGGCAGAAAATGGAGTAGGTTTCCCCATCTGGGCCCAATGCTCTGCTCCAGAACAGTGGCAGGCAAAATTTTGTGGTAGTTGTGGAAGTGCAGTGAAAGAGGTAAGGAACTGAAGCAGGAAGAGAAATGTAAAAGTATGCCTTGCCTCTCCCCTTGTATTTATCGAGCCCCTTAGATTCACACAATTTGGCATGTTATTCTTTTGGATGTGTTCTTGAAAGGTTTATTCAAGCACTGGTGCATCCACTGACTTGCTACGTTTCATCTCAGCTCCCTGTTTCTCCTACTCTTCTGCCTTGGTTGGCCAGAGTATAAAGATGTATGTCTAAGAGCTGTTCATTTTGTGTATGCACTGTACTTGGTTCAGTATCTTTGGCTATGCATATAACAAATAAGTCTGTAACTAATAAATATTGCAGTCAATGCACACACTGTCAGCTCTTCGCATACATAAGAAAAACACTATCCTACACTGAAAAAGTTTTCCTACTAGGGTACAACTATCGGGGCACAGCTGTGTTTTGCATCCACCATGGTAAAAGTACTGACCCTTCTTTAAACTGAAGCAAGCATTTGTAAAAAGCTTCTAACGGATGTGGGAAGAATGTGTCCAGGCTGAAGGGCACCTCAATCACATACCAGCTCCAAATGCAAAGAAGAAACTCTTGTCTGGGTACTCTTCCAGCAGGTCCTTCACCCTCCTGCCCATTCGCTCATTTCGCTTGTAGATGAGCTCCTGACGGAAGTAGCTGTCTATCTCTTGGGCAGTAATGCGTTCATGGGCTGGAAGTGTAGCATTAATGAAATTTGGGACCTACAGTAGAAAAAAAAAATGTCTTCATGAAAGGGGCATTTATTTCACAGGCAGCCATCATGCACAGGCATTTTGCTCCGTCATTGAACGTGGCAATTGCCATGTCTCTCAAGGCACATCCGGTAGGACAAACCCAAAGAAAACTAAAAAATGACTCAGCGTACTTCTAGTAATCCATAGTGCTTCATTTCTCTCAACATTATCATTTCATAAGCCAGCCAGCTGATTTTTTTTTTTGATGCAAAGTCAACAAATACTCTGTTTGCCACATCACAGATTGTAAATCCTGATTGCTTGGCTGAAGAAAGTAAATATTTGCCCCTGGCTATCTTTTGCTACATACCTCTTCTCTAAATTGCCATAGGTATGACATATGACTATAATGATAATTACACTCTTCTGAGAGAGTTTGACTGGTATCAGACCCCCCAGGCCATCAAAGAATAACTGTGTAATTTGAACTAGTTAACAAAAACATCCCCAAACTTTCCAAAAGAAAGAGGTCCAGATTTTGTCAGGAGAGGAAGTATTACCACCTCCAGTTCCCCTGTCCTCAAGGTACCTTTTAAAATGCCGGCTTCCTCCCCTGGAGTCCCCAGGACAGCTGTGGCTACACACTATCCTGACCGCTTGCTAGTGGAGAGAAACGGGGGTCTGGAGTTGCAACCACCCTGAGTTCTTGAGAAGCAGCTTTGGGCGCTGTGTCTGCAGGAACTGCTAAGGAAAGGGTCTGCAAGTGGTGGTTTCTAGGGGCAGAGCCACTAAGCCAGGTGCTTTCCCTTGCAAGGCTGCAGCTCTGGAGCCACTCAGACTGATACCAACTGTTTCCAAAGGGTTCTTAGCCCACAGTGGATTATCTACTGGGCAAGCACAGGGTCAAATACAACTTGCAGAGTAGTTCTGCTTAAAAATGTAAGCTGATAGTGTTGCAGGCTATTACAACTCAGCTCTGCTGTGAAGGGGGAGTGCCCTGCAGTGGAGACTCTCGTGTAACTAAAGGGCACTTTCTCTCTCAGAGACAGGCATGTCTCAGCAAGAGATGTTCTCCCCAAGGATCTCAAGGCAACGCCATCTGTCTGCAGTCTGTGACACCTCAGCAGAATAGTGATGCAGCATCTGTATGCTCTTACAGTGCTGGCCTCCTTTGAAAAGCCCTTTGAAATCTATGAATGAAGTGTACTGTGTGTAAGAGCTAAGCAGTGTTAAAGAACAGCTTGCCTGCACCTGCAGGCTGAAGGGTGTGCAGGAGAGGAAGGTAACAACACACACGGAAAGCTCAGTACCGAAGAAGCAAGGGTTAGTATGACAGTATTTCCAGCTCTGCAGCACTGCACTGTATATATCAAAAGAACGTAAGAACATGGTTACTCAGCAGGGAAAGCCCAGGTACCAACACCCACTTGTTCAGCACTGCGAGGCTAGAGCCTATGTTTTCACTGATGTGAACGAATTGCCAGGCAGTACCTCATGGACAAGAATAGAGAGGCCTGATGTCTCAGTCTGAGGTTAGCTAATCTAACAGCCCAAACAGGCCAAATTGGTCCCTGCTGGGCATTTTCTCGTGGTCTGAAGATCAGAGCATTGCATTCCACTGTGCTGCTTAGGAAACCATCTCCATAAACCAAGTCTGTGAGGCCTCAGAAGGTTTTCTTTTTCTTAATATTCAGTCTAAATCTATCTTTTCTTTGTTTCACTCCATTTCTCTTCTTTGGACCTTGCCCACAGTACACAATCATATTGAAAGGCGACATTAAAAAGCTTGCAACTTGCCCAGCCTTACACAAGCGTCCAAGTCACAAGTGCATTTCTCTGTCGCTATTTGCACAAAAAAGCCTGCTGCTCTCTGTTGGCGCTAAGTTCGCTCATACCTAAGCTAGCATAATTCCACAGGATCCTTAAGAAAATAAAGGATTAACTCATAGAGCTTTGACACTAAAGCAAACACAGCACTCGCCCAAAAAGGAAAGCCAGGTGCGCCTTCATTGCTTGCGTGCAGCAAGACAGGGGTGAGGTGGAGCAGACTCCTGGGACAGGAGGTGCAGGAAAGCGGACACACCAGGGAGCCAGTGACGTGCTCTCGGCCCTCGCCTGCAAAGGGCCTGCCTGAGGAGAGATGAGTGTGAGTGAGACAGGGGTTAGCGCTATGGGGACATGTGCGTAGTACAAGGGCTGTGGTGGCAAGACTCACTTGAGAAGTGTCATGGTTGAAGATGATGGAGCTGAGGTCCCCACAGTTGTAATGCTTGATAAGGTCTTCTGTCGTATAGGGGATCTGGAAACTGCCTGCTCGGAGGCTCTCCTGCTGCAAGAGAGTCTGATTCAAAGCAAAGACCACCTGAGGGAGGGGGAGAGGGAGGAAAAGACAGAGTTCCTGGTGAGTTCTCGTCTCGCCCCTTGAGAAGGTCACAGACATGCAGCCGCCCACCAAGGGCTCTCTGAAGCTGCTCCCACTCCAAGCGCGCCAGTCCGCACGTTGCCAACCCGTGCCTCCTCCGGGTCTGCAGGTACTCACACCTCAGGTCCCAGAAGCCTGCTCATAGGGAACTGACTCTCCACACGTAACTCCAGGAGGTTTTGCCCGTGACAAGATTAATACAGAAGATACAAAGGGGCAGACTGAAATAGGGGCAATCTTGCTCCCCTAGATGACAGTTTGCCAGAACACCATAGCGCCCTAAGGCCTGATGGGCTCCTATCCCCACAGCTCCTCAGCCACCTACCTAAATTAAGCATGGCTTCTCCTTGTTTGCCCTTTCTTCCTCATCTGCAAGGAACATTAACACTGTTGTTTCGGGCTTTGTGTCTCCTCCTCCCACACACACCATTTATTTCAGGCAGGAATGGCTCTCTGGAGCAGGCCAGGGAAGGATGGTGGCTGCTGGGGGACGCAGGCGGCCATTCTCCCTGCAACCAAAGTCTGAGGGCAGTGGCCCCACAGTGGCCCAGCACTCTCCCTCAGCTGACTGCCCTTGCAGGCACAGGGGCTGCCACTGGCCCCGCTCCCTCCTCTTCCTCGGCTCTCACCTGGGAACGCAAACACTCCCATTCCCTTTGCCTCAAGCTGAACCAGCATGGCTGCCACAGCTCCTACCCCCAGGGAGCCTCTCCCTTGACCAGAAAGGGAGAAGATCAGCAGAGGTCTCCTCCAGGTGTTGCTCCTTCCCCACCTACAGCACAGCATGGCTCTCCCAGGGCGGTGGCCTGACCCAGAGCGTGCTGCTGTTCCAGCTGCCTCCACCTAGGGCAACGAGCATCGAGTGAGGATGACCACCACGGAAAAGGCACAAGAGAGCAGTTTGGAGCAACACTTGACAGGGGCCTCTGGAGCCAAACAGATGATGCAGCACCTGTGTACCTCTCCCTGGCTGCTCCAGCTGCTGCAGCGGGCAGTCACCAAGCCCCGAAAAGGCAGGGAGCTGAGGAAGGACTTGGGGCAGAAAGCCCCCAGGCTGAGCACGAGATGCCAATGGGCACGCCGGCAGGGCGTGGAGCTGGTTACTCACCCGCGCAGACAGCAGCTCTCTATCAGCATGTGGCAAGTAAAACTCTGCCATTGCTCCTGAACACAGAGCTTATTGAAGCTACCGCTGGTTTGCACACCAAGACTCGACAACTCTAACAAGCCTTCCTACTACCTAATGGCTTATAATTTATTTCCAAAGGAAGTTAGCTGAGAGAAATTGCTGAGGTCTTGAAACACATTTCAAAAGTTACTCTTGGGAGGGTTATTTTCCAAGCTCTGGTGACTCTCTGCAGCCTGATGAGGGCTCTGTGTAATTAACTCCTTCTGGATATTTCATCAAAAGCACTCTGGAGCTGGAGGTATTCACCAACACCATGAAACTCACACATGAGTAAGCGTATGCTTAATGTACTGAGATTATTGAACCAGATCTTGGGATTACAGGACAGGGCAAATGTGGGAACAAACAAGTGCAGTTTGCCCTCCCCCAGCACAACAATCGGTCTCATACAGAAAAGTGCAGGTCCCACCAAACTTGAAATCATGCTGTCCCCACTACAGCAAGAGCTGCCCACCTGGATCCAAACCACTGTATTTAACCAAATATGAAAGCGCATAAGTTGGGGGTTGGACTAGATGACCACTAGTGGTCCCTTCCAACCCTAAACATTCTATGATTCTATAATTTAGCATTAGTTCTGGAAGGGTGTTCATGAATAGCAACATTCACTTCCATCTCAAGTTTTTAAAAAAGGCAAGAATTCACTTTGTTGGTACAAATTGCACCTGATTAAAAGAATACCTGCAGGTAGACAGTCAGGAAAGTTGCATCAAACCATCCAGTGGCCATCTTGCAAAGGACCTCTGTTTAATTTGGAAGTAAATTAAACCAAAACAAATTGAAACCACTTCATGTCTGAACAAAAGTTTGCATGCAGGCTGGGGTTTATTGCACTCTGAAGCCATCGTTTTCCATTTGTTTGGCTTCACTTCCCACACAGAAAAGCCCTAATGGATGTTAATGACCAGATGAGATTCATTGAGAGACAAGCCAAATCCATGCTGAAAATGTGGGGTTTCTACAGCCAGGACTGCTAGGTCATGCCAGGAAAATCTTGTATGTACAAGCAGTCCAGCCAAAAGCACTTCCATGGGAATGGCTTATTTTGTAAGTTATTTGACTACCATAGCAGCATCCACTTGGACAATTTACCATTAAAGCAATACGTCCCTTTCTATACTCTGCAGCTGCTGAAACAATGACAGACAGTCCCTGTCCACAGAGCAGGAATAAGACCTGCAGCAGATACCCTGAGCTGATTAGGTAGCTCTGCCTCAACGTAGAGTAAGCACATCAAAGAGGTTTTGCAATCTCTACTGTTTGATTTTCATCCAAACACAAACCAGTGGAGGGTAACGGGCTTCTGTGGAGAAAACACCATCCTGCTGGGTGAGACGTGAGAACAAAGCAAACCTTCCTCTCTCTGCTGTACTCCCACAGCCTGCACTCCTGCTGTTGCCTGCTCTGCATGCTACCTTCTGCTCCACACACATATCTTCCCTCCTCCCTTGCAGTGTACTTCAGGTGAAACAAATTCACTCTCCTCCAAACAGACCTGGCCTGGACTGTAGCGGCCAGGTCGAGCCACACAGGCATCTTCCTTCCTCATGCCCACCTACTGACCATAAGAAACTAGCAAAGAGCTAAATAAATCTGTCTCAGTTTAAAACCAGAATGACTACCTGCAGTTATGGAGGATTACTGCACACATTTACACAGGAATAGAGGCAACTCACCCCCCTCCTCTCATATTTCTAAACTTATTGCTGGCATGACACAAAGCTGTAGTGGTGAGGTAGCTTTGGCAGCTCTCTGGTCTTTGCTAAGAGTACATCTTTCTGGGTGTGGAGGTGGGAGACTTGATACTGGACATGTGAAGAAAGCACCTGAAGGGCTTGCCTGCCCAGCTGGGGAAGCATCTAAGACCCTTCACAAACAGATGGTTCACGTTTCACCTCGAAGAACAAAGTGTCCAAGCTCACTGGCCAAGACTCCTACACCCCATCCTGACCACAAGTGCTTGGGGTTGGAGGATCCAGCAGGCTGCCAATGGACCTCACAGCCCGGTCAGTGGGTTTGCGTGGCACTGCATTGGCTGTTTGTCTTTGCCATGGAGGACTACAGAGGGCTGTTCCCTGCTAAGTCAGACTTCCCCATGAGCAATATCTTTCCCCATTTGGATCTATACCTGCATCCTATCACTGTGCATAGCACCTAAGAGAGAAGTCACACCTGAAGCCCACCCAGAAGGGGGACTTTCACCTTGGCATTGTGAGGGACAGACAGAGGTGGTCTCACCTCCTTTGATGACAGCAGCAGCAGCCCAAGTCCTTCTGCACCGTTTTTAACCACAGTCCAAGCAGTGGGGGCAAGAGAAGTCAAGATATGACAAATGGGCAGAAACCAAAAGAGCATCAATGTCCTTGACAATTAGCCCTCCCTAGTGAGTTAGGGTAACTCATGTCATCAGGCTTTGCACAGCCTCCCTGGGGGAAGTGTAACTCCCTGGCAAAAAGAAGAGGGGTGTGGGGGTGAAGAGGGAGGAGCTGTCTGCAGTACCAGGTGTTGCTTCAAGCTGCGCCCTGGTGAGAAGGTTATCTTCGGTAAATAGTAATGGATAAACACTGTCAAGATCTCAAGAGAAGGAAGATTCGTTAACCTACTGTTCTTAAAGGATTTAATTTGCTGAGGTGGGTCTTGCTCAGAGGTTGATAACTCTTATCTGTCATTATTTCTCAAAGAAAACATTAGACTAGGTGCAAAGTGACACTTAAGGAAGACCACAGCCACCAAACTCTGAGGATTGCATCTCAGTCTTGTTTACCAGATGTGAAAAGCTGAAGGAAGTCGACAGAGCATGAGAAGCAGGGATGAGATCAGCAGATGATCTGCAACTGCTATATTTGCTTGGCACAAATACTGCTTGCCTTCCCAGCTCTCCATTCAATCCTGCAGTCCTTTCACTTCCAGTAAGTCCAAGGAGTTAAGAAGACAACAGAAGGGAAGTAGAAAAGAAATTTTCAATTTTTCTTGTAAAGCAAAACCAAGAATTTGTGCTGTGCTGAGCTCCTCCAGCAAGTGATACAGAAAGTATGCATCTGTCTTCCAGGTATCTCTTGCATTGCACTGTGGTTTACTAATTCGAAAATCTTTCCTGTGTTGGATTCCACAGAAATCACTCCACATCCCCCCCCAGCAACTCTACCCTACTCTGCTCCATTAAGTATATTCATACTAGCATCAAAGCTTCTCCTGAAAAGATGTATTCAGAGAACAAAAGTAACAAGTTTATTAGAAAGGGATTTTTTTCCTCCCACCTCCCATTTCCACTGTGATCTCTCTGTCTTCCCGCAACCCTCTCCCTTTTTGTACTGTGGAAAAAATCGATTAAGCTCTCTGGTATACATATTGCTGCAAGCCTCATTCTCCTCCTGGAGATTTCTTCAGCTGTCAGGAGACACTTGTCCCCTTTGCTAGCATTGTTGGAGTGGCCTGCTAGGCTAAGGGGGTGGGGAAAAGGGGGTTAGAGCCCGGCAGATGCCTTTTTTGTCAAAGACAAAAGACCCCCTGCCATCCTCTCCACTTTTCAGCACTTTCATCCACACTGGATCAAAGTGCTGTTCTGCATATGAAAGGAACCTGGCATTATGTGCCTCAAATTAGCCTATCGCCATCCCGCTAGCCTCCAAGTCTTCCCAACAAAAGCGCTCACATCTGTTCCATCATTTGCCTCATCTTCTGTTTTTTTTTTCTCCGCTCTCAGTTTTTGAGGGCCATTCAGCCCCTTGAATTATAGTCTGAGGTAGCATCT